ATTCAGAGATTTTAAAATCCTACACGTAAAAAAATAAATATAAAATTTAATTAATGTGTTTCCAAGTCGTGGAAAACATAAGCAATATTTTCACACAAGAAATTCTTAACTTTAGAAAAACTTGTCTAAACTTAATACAGGATTGAATAAACTTCAGTATCACTTAATAATAAATCAAATATGCTTTTCCAAATAATATAACTACTGCAATTTAGTATATGATGTTAATATTTTAGTTTTCGACATTATTATGATTCCGTACCCCCTCCTAGCGGCCATACTAATTTACCTGGATGGATGAAATTTGGTACACATATGTATTTTTACGTGTAGATTACAGAAAAAATATAGCGAAGCTGATTGGAATCCATTATCATAGTGTTGTCAAGGAAAAACTTTAAAGTTTTACGAGATATGCTTAAAAATGACTATGTACCTCTGGCGGCCATATCTTCTGATATAAAGAGCTCAAGTTTGGTATACACTTATGTTTTAAAGAACAATTTCACCAAAGGAAAAATTAAAGGCATTACGTAAGTTGATTAAAAATCATTTATTCATTTGCGTTCAATTTTATCATTTGTTATATTTGATTAACACCAAGTATAATCTTAGCACTGTGAAAAATTGATAAACAAATGAATTTGACTGTCTTGAAATTTAAGAATGTTTTATATGATTTCCAGCTTATCTGTCGATTATTTATTATCATTAAATTAAATAATTAGTTATAAATATTTAGTCATACACTTAAATCAAATGTTTGAATATAAAAAAAATATTTTTTCATCGTCGAAAGTATAAAATTATGAAATATTCTATTTTGCTTATATTATAATATTCCATTGTATAAAGAGGAGGCACCACCTCCAATTTTGACTCACTCACAATTAAATTTAAATTATTAAACGAGGTTGTTTATTTTTTCTTGCATCATGTAGGTCCTAAAAACATACATAAAAAAAATTAAATTTTAATTTTTGCCCATTATAGAACATAAAGTCTTAAAAAAATTAAAGTTTTAAGGGGTTAGGTGGGTTTCAGAGGCCAAAAAAGCATATTTTTATGAATTTTTTATTAAGAGATGAAATGAAATATTTTATTTAAACTTTTTCCACATCAAAGAGACATATTTCAAGAGTACTTTCTAAAATTAAGAGTCAAAAAATATTAAAAATTAAGCCATTGAGACCTCTTTTTCTGTGACACTTCCAAAAAAAGTAGGTTTGCGGTTGTCAGCATAAGTTATGACAGAATCGTCTAAAATTAAAAAAATCGACAAATGCGAGTTACACTTGCATTGAAACCAAGGGTTCCGTATCTCGATTTGATAGAAAAGTCCACTTTAAAAAAAAATTATTTTTCGAAAAAACTCAATTAAAACAACTTCATATCATGTTTTTTAAATTTTTCCTATAATCTACACGGAAAAATACGTAAAAAATTTCTTCGCTTTTTGGGGAAAATACACGATTTTTATCGAAACTTATCAGTATATTTAAGTAGGGGACAGGGCCTCAAGATGGACATTTAATATAAAATTTTCGTATAAGTATATATCGTCTCGGGATTTTTTTTACTGATTTAATTTGTTTAGATGAAGCTTTTTATATAAACACGGATCAGAAAGAATTATTTTTCTTCCTGTAACATATATCACGTGGATTTTCATTTTAAAAAGTTTTGTAACAGTTTTTATTTCAGTTAGTAAAATTATCTATATTTTTGATTTCGAATAGGTGCTGTTACATCCCGAGCGAAAGGCGAGGTTAAATTTAATTTTAATTAATATAATCAATTCTAAAATTTTGGAGGAATGGTAGGCTGATTAAATCAAGTTGGTAAAGCTTGACCATTTATTTTTATGTGAGAACGTTTGTTCTTATCGATCCTACGGGGGTCGTCTTTTAATTTATTTTACTATTAAATAATTGCCTTGACACTTATAGTTGTTAATTTAAATATGAATTTAGATATATGAGAATCTCAATGAAGAATTTTATTGATATAAATGTTGTATAATTTATTAATATAAATGTATAAAATTAAAATGTTACAATAATGTTTGATGTTAAAAGATGTTGTTACAAAGAACTGTGAATTTGAAAATGCTGTACTTACAATTACCTCTGTTCAGAGGGCAGAAACAATTATAAATTGACAAGTCGGTACTTGTCCTTGACGCTGTGAGTTTTGCAACTCCTGAAAAGGAACGGTTGGGACTTCCTCACAGTTTTTAGTTCGTAAACTCCGAAATGAACACACGTCACGTTTGCAAAATCGTTAAATTGAGAATACACTAATATGACAATTAACAATAAAATTTAATAAATGACAAGCTTACAAATCTGTCGATGATGATTACTTGCTCTAATATCGAACAACGAGTAAACATATACTGTTTGAGATGCTAGAGTTACAGTCGTAATAATTTTAAAGTAACCGAAGGGTCAAACTCACGATGGTAATTTCACGTTATGAAACGAACTATGAAATGATTCCGGAGCAAATGACAATGCATTTGCATGGGTTTTTATACTAGAAAATCGTCCTCAGTAGGAGTAAATAAGTTCAAAGATCACCACATCTCCAAGCTTGACTATTAGACCTTTCATAGAATTAAGACAATTCTCAAAACTTAGATAGACACCTGCATCCTGTATCGCATAGCTATTACATCGTCTACAAGCATTTTTCAATAGTACAACGCTAGGAAACTGTGCTTGCGCCTCGCTAAACGCATACATGAGTAATAAGTCTATTCGTTGCTAGAGAGTTTTGTGCATAGTAGCGTCAAATGGCATAGGTGTGATTTCTAGGAATTGTAATTGTAGTTTTTGTCGACTATATTGGATCCGCCATTTTGAATTTTTGGAAACTAACATCGGATTCGTAATCAGTGACCGCCAAAACCCCCGAGTAACAAATTTCAAGCAAATCCGGTTGATTTTTAATTTTTTTTGTCCGCCATCTTGGATCCGCCCTTTTTAATTTTTTTTTAATGTCAAATTTGAATTTAACGACCTCATAAACCATTATATACTGTTTCATAAAAATTTGTCAGCAGAATTTGTTGGACATTTTGGGACCACATAATGGATTTTTTCTCAAACACGGAAAGGGTTTAAAACAACATGATTATCAATTCCAAACGCGCTCACTAAATTTTTCCTGTAATCTAGACGTAAAATTACGTATTTATACCAAATATGAACTGTATTGCTCAAATAGTCGTATTTTGTTAAGTCTTATATTGTATAAACTTTAAATAATATAATTTAATTAATTATACTTCTGCGCCAAGCAACCACGGGCCGGGGTTGCTTGGTGCGCTTTGCACAGCTTCAAATAAAGTGGTATAAAAAGAAAAGTATTAAATATATTGCAACTTTCTTTTTTTTAAATTATAGCTGAGATGTTACAACAAGTTTTCTATACAATATCTTTTTAAAAAAAGCAAAAATGAGTGAGTTACACAACAAAGAGTAAAAAGTGCGTTATTACATCATCATGTACACTTGACTACCTGAGTAAATTCCCCCTCGTGGCGAAGTTTTTTTTGAAAAAATGCCATTTTTTGTCAAATTTTCACCACTTTTTACAATGTAAAATTGGTTAGGATTGAAAAAAGTCCTTCGTTTAAGTACGAAATAATGTTATTTTGAAGAAGTATGCCAAATATGAACAAATCGGTTCATAACTTTTCGAGAAATCGTTACAACCGATTTCAAAAACAGCGTTTTGAGAAAAACGCGATAAAAGATTTAAAGAGAAATAACAGGCAGAAAAAATTTTTTGATTCAAATTTCATACATAAAATCGTCGATTCCGGCACAATATAGCAACTAAAATATTCGCAACTAGTTATCCTTAGAAAGTGTGAGCAACCAAGAGAGACAGAAAAACAATAGCTAAGGATCTGTGTCCAGTTTACCTGAGTTCGGGATTCTAGAAATTAATTAACAAAACACAATAAAACACTGTTGAGTACGTAATAAAGAAAACTAAATTTATTGAACAATTTAAAATCTTCGTCCAATATTTTATAACATACACACTAGAGCTTCACTTATTTAAACCAGCTCTGTGCAAATCGTTGAGAAAGTCGCACTTATTTAAACTTCGAAGCGTGTACCTCCAGTTTGTGATGTATTTGAGTAGCAAATATGATTGGTTGGTTCCGTTTGAAAACAACCTATGGGGAGTTAGGTGATCTTTGTATATGTCTGCAAATATGAAAACACGCACATTTCGCATGAACGTTGTTTGACGAAATATATTTTATTTTACAGTGTCAAAATAAAGTTCAGTGAATATATTTACTTTATAAAATGTAATATTGGTTTGTTTACTTCTGTGGACTGTGTGGAGAAATGAAAATTAAAACAGATAATCCGCCAAAAGGTAATATACTACATATTTAAGGTTATGTTTACATTCTTCGATTATTGAATGTCAATAAAAATAAGTTATTATTATAGAATTGATATTAGAAATAGAATTTAAAATAATAATTTTGATAATAGATGTTCATACCTACATATGATATAAGTAAAAACAGATTAAATGTTAACATAAAGTTTCACTTTATAAGCACTAAAATTGACGAATATGTCAATGCATTTTTTCCAAAAAATCGTTGCGCAGTAGAATACGTTATGTAAAAAATGAAAACAATTCTATTAGTTACTAAATGCATAAACAAAAATATATAAATAATTAAAATTAATAAAGTTAAATATTTTTAGGCGATGTGCGGAAAGATCGACAGAAACGGTGCAAGAAATTATCCTTGAAAGAGAAATTGCAGGTAATAGAGCTGTTTGAGGAAGGAATTATGAAAAACGAAATTTCTTCTAAATTTGGCGTTACTATAGGTGCAATTTGTTATGTAATAACAAATAAGGAAAAATATGTGCAGATCGGAGAAAGCAAAATATCAAAAGCAAAGACAAGAATTGACAATGGAGTAAATCCGGTGTTAGAAAACATCTCCAACGATGGAGAAATTGAAGGCTAGTCAAGGTTGGCTACACAGATTCAAAATAAGAAATGGAATTAGACAAATCACTTGCAAAGGTGAAAAAGCTTCTGCCGATCATGATGGATCAGTGGCTTTTCAGGAAGAAATGACAAAGTTTTTGGAGAAAAATGACTACAGTTTAGATAATGTCTAGAACGCAGATGAAACTGGTTTGTAAATGAAAACGCTTCAAAAAAAACTTTAGCCCTCGCTGAAGAAACAGAAGCGTTTGGGTTTAAAGTATGCAAAGAGAGGGTCACAATTATGACATCTGCTAACGCTACTGGATCGCATCAAGTCCCATTATTGCTTATTGGAAAATCGGAGAATCCACGATGTTTAAAAATTTTGAAAGACAAATTACCTTTAATCTACAAGGCCCAGAAAAAATCCTGGATGACACGTATGTATCATTGAATAAAAACTTCTTGTAAAATTACAAATATAAAATTCCTTAATCTTTATTTTACATAATTTAATAATTTTTTAAAAATATAAAATGTTTTGTGTTGTTCTTAGCTTTTAATAATGTGTCTTTCTTTTAGGAGAAATATTCTTGGACTGGTACAAAAATGTCTTTATTCCTGATGTAATAAAAAGAAAGGCAGGAAAAAACGAGAAGTTTTTACTTCTTCTAGACAACGCTCCTTGCCATCCATCGGATAAAAAATTAAATAGCATTAATAAACAATTTAAAATTAAATATTTACTAATGTGACATCGTTAATTCAGCCGATGGATCAAGGTGCCATTGAGAGCATGAAGAGGCATTATAAACAGTTGTTTCTCCAAAAAATATTGTTTGAAGATTGTAACAGTTCCGCAACCATAGTAAGTTTTATAAAAAAGTGGAAGCTTTCAGACACAATTTTTCTTGCTGTGTCAGCTTGGGATCTTGTAACCCAACAAACTTTATCTATGGCCTGGAAAAATTTATTGGGCCTTGAATTTATTGAAAAGTCATCAGATGTAACAGAAGAAATAACGACTTTGAATCAAATTCATCGTTCTCAAACGTATTCCACTTCAGAAGTCGAGGAGTGGATTGCTCAAGATAATAGTCTCCCGACTTGGAATCAGCTGTCCCTTGATCAACTTATTGAAAAAGAAACTACGGGAAATACTGATTTTGAGGTAATATTTCTAACCGTTTGAAAAAATCTTCAAAGTAAGAATTTCTGAAACTTATTATTGATTTTGCATCAATACTCTGATTTTATTCAAAAATTGTATTCTGCAACTAAATAGTAAGACAAACATATCCTACAATAATAATTTATATGAATTTACTTTTCTGGACTGTTCGTGAACAAAATGTCGATGAAACTTTTTCAGAAAGTGATGCTGAAGAAAATAGCAATGATGAACCTAATAACACCTCAACAAATTATGAAGATGACGAAACTGTACTCAACAAAGCAAAAATAGCACGCTGCAACCTTTTGGAATTAAAAAAATGGGGTTTTCGACGGCCTAATGTCACTTCAGAAGACATTAAAAACATTTATCAATTACAAATTGTTATAGAAAGAGAAATGTATAAAGTCTTGAGCCGACGCTAGTTGTAATGTTTTATGTAAAAATGAAAAATATTTGCTTTTTAACTATTTTGTCTTTATATGTATCTATTTTACTTCTTTAAATAAAAGCTGCATGAGTAAAAAAATTTAAAAACATACATATGAGGCAAAATTCCTGAAATGTCCGAACAAAAAATTAAAAGTTCTCGAATTTAATCCATACTTTTCTAAAATGTTGTTATTGTTGGTGAAAGTCTAAAAATCAATTATTATTGAATTTAATAAAATAGTTTTTGAATTACAACGTTTTTAATTTTTGACTTTTGAAAAAAAAATTTTTTCAATGTACAATATTTATAAGTAGAATGCATAAAAGTTAACATATGAAGGGTAGAATGACAAAAGGGGTCAAGCGCCAATTTATCGAAAATGAGGTTTTTGCATAAAAAAATCAAGAAAATTCATTTACACATTTCTGTAGAAGGATTTCCTTTTTTATTGCGTATTTAAATCAGTTTTTAATAAAAATTAAATTAATAAAATAGCCTCAAATTTACTTTATTGCAACCTGATTGAAAAACAAAAGAAAGTGGTGAGTCAATAATATTATCAAAATAAAAAAAAATATTATTTTTTTAGGTTTTATTTTAATATTTTATTTTTATTTTATTTTAATAATATTTTAATTAATAAAATTAATAATAATAATAATGTATTTTCAATTTTAAACAATTTTAAAATCATTTTGTTATTAATTTTTAAATATTTTTATGGTTATACTAAGTGAACAATTGAATTTAAAGATGAAAGTATTGCTCAATTCCAAAGCAAGCAATTAATTCTTAATTTTCTTGAAAACAAACAATTTTTTAAAGGAATTTTTTTTTCTATTCTTCTCGTCGATTCCATAGAAAGAAACTAAATTTCCAGTTTTTCTTTAAACTGTATATTTTTTTTATAATTAATGTTTAAAGAAAATGTGCGCAGTTGATATAACCTCAAGGAACCACAGTTTTTTTTAATTTTATCGTTAATATGTAGGTTTATTTCAACAAATTGTTGTTTATTTATTAAAACATACTAATATATCGAAACGGTTTTCTCAGTTTTTTTTTAAATGACCTGCAAAATTTTTAAAAATGTTTTTTTTACTTCCTGTAAAAACAGTGAATTGGCGCTTGACCCCTTTTGTCATTCTACCCTTCATATATATAATGATTTTTAAAGCTTTTTTGACGGGCTACACGCTGTTAATAAAATTTTTTTTTTAAAATAACATTTGACCTTGAAATTCAAGGTCAAAATGTTAATTTACGTTTATCTCAAAATCGGATTTTTAAAAATTATTTTTAACTATGTCAATGGAAAGCTTGACTAATTTCCAACAAAACATGTAATTTTCAGAGTGGGATCTTTTAAAGTTTTTGAGATATTAATTAATTAATTAATTAATGTTTATTGATTGAAACCTAACGTAATTCCGCATCCAACGAGCCCTACATGAAGTATTTTTGATAAGTAGATTGTTAATAAACAATTAGTTAACATTGCAATTGTTTATTGACAATCTACTTATCCAAAATACTTCATATAGGGCTCGTTGGATGCGGAGTTAGCTTAACTTTCAATTGGTTAGTTTAGATTTACGATAACTTTATTTGTTTGTAAGATATTTCATTTTTTATTGTTATTCAACTAAAATTGAACAAAAATACTTCATATAGGGCTTTTGGATGCTTGTTGTTAGTAAAAAATAAAATATTTTACAAACAAATAAAGTTATGGTAATTCTGAACTTACCAATTGAAAGTTAAGGTAATTCCGCATCCAACGAGCCCTATATGAAGTATTTTGGATAAGTAGATTGTTAATAAACAATTGCAATGTTAACTAATTGTTTATTAACAATCTACTTATCCAAAATACTTCATATAGGGCTCGTTGGATGCGGAATTACGTTAAGTTTCAATTGCTAACTTCAGAATTACGGTAACTTTATTCGTTTGTAAAATATCTCATTTGTTATAAACATTAATTAATTAATTAATTAATTAATATTTCAAAAACTTTAAAAGATCCCACTCTGAAAATTACATGTTTTGTAGGAAATTAGTCAAGCTTTCCATTGAGATAGTTAAAAATAATTTTTAAAAATCCGATTTTGAGATAAACGTAAATTAACATTTAGACCTTGAATTTCAAGGTCAAATGTTATTTAAAAAAAAAATTTTATTAACAGCGTGTAGCCCGTCAAAAAAGATTTAAAAATCATTATATATATGGGACGTTTCACATCAACCGGCCCAGAGCTCCATCCAAAATTCTAATCAACGAAAATCAACTTATTACGGCTCAAAATAATCGTCAGCTCATACTGCTTCGAATAAAAAGTGGCGAATTAAAAAATTCAAAATGGCGTCCCTACTGTACCGTGTTTTGCAAATTTTTTTACTTACTCGGCAAACAAATGTATTAATTACCTTGAGAAAAAAATTGCAACTTGTTGGATAATGTGTCACTCTTATGTTTTTGGGCTCGCTGATTACGAATCTAAAGTCAGATTTAAAAAATTTTTAAAATTCAAGATGGCGGATCCAATATGGCGGACATATTTATTAAAATTTAATCAGATTCGCTTGAAACTTGCTACTCGGGGGTTTTTGGGGTCGCTGATTACGAATATAAAGTCAGATTTTCAAAATTCAAAATGGTGGATCCAATATATCGACCAAAATTCTTTTTAAAATTATCAGATTTGCTTGAAACTTGTTACTCGAAGAATTTTGGGGTCGGTGACTACGAATTTGAATCTGGATTTTGTAAAATAAGATTGGTGGTTCCAAAATGGCTAATAAAATATTTAAAAATTGGATTGATTCGCCACCTTTAAATCCATAAACCACCCCTTTCACATTATTCAATTATTTGTTTTAAATTTTTCTTCCATACAAATTTAGGCTTCATTTAAAGGATCTTAAATATCATAAAAGTAATTTTTCAAAATACTAGGGGAGGATGGGGCAAGGATAGTTAAGGGGTAAGGATAGTTAGTTGCTGTTATGTTTAGACGGCTTGCTCAAAATTCGCGTCATTCATGGTATATTTGCGTCTTAACACCAATAGATGATAGTAAAAATTGGAAGTAAATCTGCCACCATTTGCGAAGTCAGGAGTTTATTTTTGTAAAAAGTCTGTTTTGCTAAAATGTCAACGTAGTGTTTATCATACTGTTTTCTATATTAGTGCTTCCGAATATATATTTTCGTAAGTGTTTTCCGGAGTGAAATTTCCTGCTGAACGCGAATATCGTATTTATTTTCAAATTAATTAACGTCGTTCCTTAAAATTTAGAAAAAACTGAAATATGGGCTCATGGGGCAAGGATAGTTAGGACTATTACGGCTCAATAAAATCCTGCTAATGAGACTGCAAATTATAAAAAAATGTTTAATTGTTCTTTTTATGTTGATATACATAATGGTACGTAATTATATACGAAAAAAGAAGCTTATTGACCAAGAAATTGGTGATCATCTGAAGAAAATTGGTTAAACCTCAGATTTTAGTTCAGACGAATTTTAATGCAATAATTGATATTCAGAAAATGTTCAAAACATGTTGTTAATACTTGATATATCAATATTAAATAGTCTAAATCCAATAAAATAAAGAAACCGAAAATTTACTGATTTTCTATGACAATTTTAGCATTTGGATTCTTTTAACTATCCTTGCCCCGGTACTGGGGCAAGGATAGTTGAAATTTTTTTTTTACTTTTTCATTCGTATCTCGTAGGGATTGCACTCTACAGCAAAATAATGTATAGCAAAATTATAGCCAAATAACCAGGTTTTCTGAAGATACTATTCGATTGCTGATATATATTTAGGTTTGGCCGCTAGATTTGAAAAGGTCTTACCTAACTATCCTTGCCCCATCCTCCCCTACCCTTAATCCCCAAAACTACCCCTTAATATAGAAATTTAATATTTTTTAAAATTTACTCTACATAAATCTTTTATAATTTTAGCTAATTTGAGGCTTTTAAATAGCCTTAAATTAAATTTTGAAACATCTACCCTTAACTCCAAGAACCTCGTCCTTTAAATATTTAAATTACTTTTTTAAAATTTTTCCTTTCCTTTATAAAAATTTTTTCTATATCATTTTTTTACAATTTAAGCACAACTAAAACTTTCAAATATTCTCAAATTGAATTTCAAAAACTGTCCTTAACTCTAAAAACCTTAACCTCAAAAATCAGCCTCATTACATTTAAGTTTATAAATGCAATCAAATTTTACAATTTCATCCGCCATATTGGCTCCACCATTTTGAATTTATAACAACTTTTACATCAGAATCGTGATCTGTGACCTGATTTTTAAAAGTTGACGTAAGATTCGTGATCATCGACCCCAAAAATACCCGAGTAACAAGTTTCAAGCAAATCTGATAATTTTTAAAAATTTTGGTCGCCATATTGGATCCGCCATTTTGAATTTTGAAAATCTAACTTTATATTCGTAATCAGCGACCCCAAAAACCCCCGAGTAGCAAGTTTCAAGCGAATCTGATTAAATTTTAATAAAAATGTCCGCCATATTGAATCCGCCATCTTGAATTTTGAAAATTTTGAAAATCTGACTTCAGATTCGTAATCAGCGACCCCAAAAACATAAGAGTGACACATTATCCAACAAGTTGCAATTTTTTTCTCAAGGTAATTAATACATTTGTTTGCCGAGTAAGTAAAAAAATTTGCAAAACATGGTACAGTAAAGATGCCATTTTGAATTTTTTAATTCGCCACTTTTTATTCGAAGCAGTATGAGCTGACGATTATTTTGAGCCGTAATAAGTTGATTTTCGTTGATTAGAATTTTGGATGGAGCTCTGGGCCGGTT